TAAATAAATATAAATAATATATACAAAGTTATCTAATAAATAAATATAAATAATATATACAAATCATGAGTCTGTCTTTTTAATTCTGAAAAATTGTTAATGAAATCACTAATAGTAACCCAGATAGAATAGGGTTATTATTCCAAACATAATAATCCCAGAGGCTCAAACTTATGGATGACATGTCTTATTTATTTTTCTGTAAATATAAACTCCACATAATTTGTAGGCATAAATCACATAGAGCAAGCAGTATTTTGAATTTGGGTTTCCTGGTGCTTATGAACTTTGGCAAAATAATGGAGTAATGTTGCCATTTAGATTTTTTTTTAAACCAGGTCTTGCTTTTACCTATTCACCTTGAAAGATAGTGTGGTCTTTTGAGAAAAGCATGTAAATTGCTGAAGAGAAGCCTACAAGGCTAAGAGTTTTGGTCTGCACAATTTGAATGTAGGTGAGTTTCCTGCTATTGTATTGTATACTGAAAGGTATTCTTTTGGGGCCCCCACACTGATAGGCAAATTTCAGTCTTATGAGGAAAAAAACAAAGCAAATGTTGCCAGCAGGATAGGTGAGTCTATTGCTGCTTTTTCCTTCCTTCTTCCTGGTGTGACCAGTAGCCATCCAAAAATTGCAGTTTTCTGAGAGCTAGGATGATCTGGAAAGAGGGACATTGCTACAGGCTAGTGTTGTTGATGTTGTTGTTGTTTTTTAACTTGGCTGTGGATAAGAATCAACTGGAGATACATGTTAAAAATACAGATTTCTAGTATCATAATTATTGAAGATAAATCCTGACTCTGTACTTTAACAAGTGGTGGAGGTGATTTTGATGCATGAAAAGTTTGAGAACCATTGGTTAGAACTTAAGGCTAGAGTCTTTAGAGTCAGAAGAACCTCAATTCAAATTTGAGCTTTGCCACATACTAACTGTAGTTTATAACCCAATCTTCCTTGTTATCATACCCTTCTACCCCCATATTATCCTGTGTGATAATCATCTCTTAACTACATATGCTCAATTAGATTATTATCTAATTTCTTCTTTCTAGTACAGGAACAATTTCTGCATTAGGATAAAAGCTAATATGAAATAGTAAAAAAATTCATCAGCTTAAATAAAATAGAAGTTTATTTTTAATTCCAGAAATGAGTGGATCAGGTTTGGCAAGATGGCTTTCCTTCACACAGTCATCCATGGAATTAGGTATTTTTCTATCTTATTGCTCCACCATATTTTAGGGTATATTCCTTGCCTACATGGTTGAAACTGGTTCACCTCCAAGTTTATGTTCTTTTTAAAAAAAATTAATTTATTTTTATGGTGACATTGGTTAACAAAAACCAGTAAGTTTCAGCTGTACACTTTAATAGAAAGGCACATATATATTTACGCCGTGTGTTCACCTCCCATAGTTATATTTCTTTCTGTCACCACATATTTGACCCACTTTACCCCGTTTACCTCCCCACTCCTCTCCCACCCCCTACTCTCTGGTAACCACTAGTCTATAGTCCATGTCCATGAGTCTCTGTTTGTTTGTCCTGTGCATTTGTTGCTTTTAAATTTATATCCCATTTATAAGTAATATCATGTGATTTTCAACTTTTTCTGTCTAGCTTATTTCACTTAGCATGATTATCTCGAAGTCCATCCATGTTGTCACAACT